GTCCTTCTTCGCTTTTAGTTTTCATTTGGAAGAAAAGTGCCTCTGCTGCGCTTGGTTGTTGCAATTGGTCAGCAGAGAGGTTGTTGCTCAAATAAGCTTCTTTGATGCCAATCATCTCATTCAATTCTCTTTGTTTCTTTTTGGCTTCATTGTTGTTTAATTGAGCCAATATTCTAGCTTGAACTCCTTCCACTAAAGCAGCTGATTCTTGCATTGCCTGGACACTTGGTTTTAGGTCTTTTTGTAAATCCTTCCAATATTTTAAAGAATTCTCATGTGCCCTTTTTAAGTTGTTCAGTGTGAACTTTCTTGCTTCCAATGTTTCAGCAGAATCAAGTTTGTCTTGTACAGCTTCTAGTTGCTGGCTGTAATAATTAATTTTCCCTTCCGTTTTCTGTACCTGCTGGCTAGGTGACAGACAAGCAAATTCTTTAAATTCAGCATCCACGTCAGTCATTTTGAATGGCTGATATCAAATGGGATTTCTTCAGGGATTTTTGTTCTTTTAAATCAACAATTTCTTCAATTTCAACAATTTCTTCAATTCTCTTCTAAGGAATCCTTCCTAGAAATGCAGAAATTTTTAAATCACTCCACTCGTTGATATAGTCTTTCTAGTTCAAAGCTCACTCAGATGTCTCACAGGGCTGCTATTTTTTCTCTTGCCTCTTTTCAGGCCTTTTTCTCCACTAGTCACACACTCTATATTTTTTCACAACAGTAAAATTGGTTTCTTGTCTCATTTACTAAAATACTATCTTTTTTCATTTCTCAAAAATAGGATACAATTTTCAATACACTGTTGGAATTTTTGCTGGTTTTTATTTTAAACACAGCAGTCTTTCACCAAAATTGGTTGACACAGGAGAGTGTCTAAGGGATCCTTTTGTGGGCAGGGTTGCGCGGGTATCTCTTCAGTCAAATTTGACTCACAATTTTGTAGCAATCATTTTGTATGATACTTGTGCTTTTTTTTGGGTAGGTTGATCTTTGTAGATTGCTGGGTTGGGATCCAGTAATCCTTTTTCAGATCCTTTGTCTTGGAGTGAACACGTAGAGGAGACGTCACAGCGCACTTGCTCTTGGGGATGCGATTCAATTTGTTCACTTGGTCAAGTTGTATGGAACCCTTCAAAATACACAGTTGTTTGTACAATCTTTTTAACTTTTAAATTTGCAGTTACGTACAATGTCAAGATAGAGGGGAAATTCACCCCACACAAAAAGAAATTTAAAAGCTTGGGTCAAATTAACAAGAAGTTAAAGACTACTGACTGCGCCAATTTGTTGTCCGTAGACATAGGTAAAATAAAATATAAAAGTCCAGTAAAAATATATGCTTCAAATGTATTCAATTCACAAATATTCGTACAATCACACAAACATAAAAATAGAGAGTTTTAAGAGAGTCTTGCTAAAACGTTCCGCAAGTCTCTCTGAGAAATAACCGCAAATGACTCTAGATTAATTCTGGAGAAATATGTGGGAAGGAAGGTATATTCATACCTTCCTGGAAACATAAAATATGGAGGTGGAATATTTGCCAAGATTGAGGGACTGCAGGTTCACTGAACACACTTGATGAATATATATATCCGGGTATATATTATAAATATAAATAACATATATACACTTGCAAATTCAACAGAATAGGCTTCTTCTAAATTGGCAGTTTAGAAGAAGGCAGTGCAGGTCGTTTGTCACTGCCAACAAATAGCAATTTGTTATCCTTATTTGGGAAAAATCAATAAAAGACACTGTCGCGGTTCTAGAAGAATGTCTTCTTCTGGATGCGATTAATCTAAGACAATTTTAATTCCCAAAGATAAACTTCTGACAAGAAGATTCTTGTTCCTATAATCCCGAGTTTCAAGTGAATAAGACTTCTTGTTATAAAGATGTGATACGTATATTTCTATATGACTTCAACCAACGCCAGACCGACAATGAATACCAAATATACACTTCGCAGGGCCTTAAATAAATTCAGAATGAACCAGACAAGCATGATGCAATTCAGTTGGGAAAACAGAAACGGGGACGGGGAATGACCGCAAGCCAGACACTGTAAAAGTACACGTCATGCCCTCCTCAGATTTGGATCTGAGTTGCTAGGCAAGAAAGTATTGTTACGTTTTGGGATGTACAATGCAGGTAATAAGGAAGCATCATTATAAACCTGTCACAGGACACTCATGCTAATATTTGGTGACAAAGTTGAAAAGGAGAAATGCGCAATAACAACTGTCACGCATTAATGCCAGCTGAGGTGAGAGAGGGGGAACCAAAACAAAAGGGGAACAGCTGCAAGGAAACAAATACCTTGTAGAGAAGGATCTCCTTCCAAATAAGGAGAAAAGAAAATAATCGCAATTTGGTTTCTGGGTTACAAGCAGGGTTGTTAATCGCAATCAAAATTTCAGTTGCACAATCAAAATCAAAACTTGCTACAACACATTTTGCACAATCGAAATCAAAAGTGCTGCAACACCTACAAGTTTGTACGCAATCAAAACCGCTATGGTGTTTTCCTTTTTTCCCGAAATCGAAATCGCAAGTGTTGCCACAATCTTGAAAACTCCTCTCAAACAATTGTAATTTGAATGCAACTTTATTTTTCAGCAGTATTACACACTTGCAATGTGGAAACCTTGTAGAATTCCTCCTGTATAAACTTTTGAAAAACATATCCTTAATGATTCTGTGCATCTGCATTCTGCATATTTTTCAATGTGGTAAAAAACTGCATGTGAGTCTCAATTATCTTGTGTGGCTTCATGTAAGAAAAACTCAATGGCCTAAAAATTCTGAAAGAAAGCTTTTTTACTTATAGTAGAAGCCCTTGAATTGAACTTATTTTGAAACAATGTTTCACAGTGCCAGAAAATGTGCAACCAGGGCAAAGAATAACACAAAAGTGGGGTTTGGCTGTTTAGGAAAGTATTACACTAAATGTGATGGTATGGCAACATTTGAACCTTGTACTGCAGTGCTGCAATTCATTTGCAATATGTAATGCCACAAGGCATGCAAGAAAATTCCTATGATAAGGAGAGTGGAAGTTCAGAAAAATTCCAAAATGTTTTCTTCTCTGGCAGAAAGTTTTATTTTGAAAAATTTCACTGCTGTCATGCTGTGCATAATTTTTTCACATTCCTTTTATAGGATAAGCATTGATCATTGCAGGATCTCAGAAAATGGGTTTAACCTCTCACATTTTTTTTATACTTTTTCTACTCAGCCTCCCAATGGCTCAATTTCATGGCGCCAACAAACATCCTGTCACCCCGTTGGACTTTGTAACTCCGCACCACCCAATAAATACTCTTCCTTTCTGGGAAAACTGAAGTTCATTCAGGGCTGTCAGGGGTCCTATAAAACCTTGAGACAAGAAAGCATTCACTCTGCTATCTTGTGAAGAGTATAGACAATAGAGTTACTTCCACTGTAGGTTTCCATTCCTTGGAATTGGTGGCAGCATAAACAAATGGCGCCAATTAATTAGTCTGACTTCACTGGTCTATTTTGCTTCTCTGCTGCTGTAATGGACTTCTTGACTAGAGCGGAAACAGGAGCCGGATGCTTCTAAAAATGGGGGAAAATTACTGCATGATGTTCTTTTTCCACGTTTTGGGGTAAAACACTGCAGCTATTGATAAAAATTAAACGGACGCTGCTAAAAATTACAGAAAGCATCCAGCATAGCCTGTGGTATTCAATGAACAAAGTCTCTTGCATATGATTCACAAGACAAGGAACACTATTGAAATGCAACTCAGGATTGAGATCCTGACCACCATAATTTATGTTTCACCTGATGAGCTGACAACCAAGATAAGTTAGGTTCTGCCAGTTTAATGAGCATACAGGTTTACATCTTGAGATTCATTCTAAGTATATCTACTGTCAAATGTTTGCCTTTTTTTACCCAAGATGAAAACTTATCAAAGGATCTTCCACTTGGTACAATAACTTACTGTGACTCTCTTTGCCACCCGCAGATCACTGGCATGACACCAAATGACACATATACGCATGGTTGGGTTCAATTTCTGAAAATGCATATAACATGGGGTTCAATATTTTTCTAGTACCTAAATTGCAATTGACATTCGTCTCCAATAAAAGCTAAGGTTCGAAAGGTCAACAAAAAACTTTTAATTCCTGTTAATGTTTTTTAGCGTGTTAAGGTGTCATTCTTCTCCCAGAAATCAGAAGAATGTTGTCCACAGCCCAGAAGGGTAACAAACCAGCCAGGTCGCAGCCACTTTTGCATTTCCTTCTGGGGGACCTAATTGTATTCACAGCTTTGAGCAATTCTTCTCAAATAGAAAAGCAAAAAGCAAAAAATAAAACATATGCACCAATGGGTGTTCCCCAGAATAAGGCGCAAGTGTAACTCAATCCGACAGCCGGGAGTCACCCTGACGTCACCAGACCTGACATGACCAAAATTTAAATAAAAAAACGAAATGCACACATAGATGGTCACAGAAGTATACTTCAGGATGAAAAAAAGAGAGAGAAATAATGTGAAAGCCAGATGAAAGAGAAGGGAACAGGCTTACCGAGATTTCCAGATCCTGCTACTGTACTCCGGAACTTTGCTGTAGTGGTTGTTGGACTTTCGATTTCGATTGTCTTGCTTTTTGGAAATTGCAAGCTAATTCGCAAGTGGGAAAAAAAGGAAGTGCAATCAAAATCGAAAGCTTCCTTCAGGAATTGTTCAGTGCACAATCGAAATTGCAAGCATTGCGATTTTGATTGTGCTTTCGATTGTGCAGGATTGTGGCGCAATTAACAACCCTGGTTTCAAGTTAATGAGGATTGATTGCTTTATTGGTTGTCCAACAAGCCTTATTTTCTGCTTTTCAGTGTTCACAAGGTCCAAGCAATGCTCCCATGTGTAAACCCTCTCCCCTCTCCACCCAAATACATTTCATCACATCAGGATGGAAAATGGAGGGATTATAAGATTTATATACTGATATTAAAAGAAAAGAAAATACAATCCAGAATGTACAATTGGACTACTGATATAAATGCATACACTTTCTACCCTTGCTGGATAATCAAAACAAAATATCAGTAATACATATTACAGCATGAGGCAATATAACTGAACCCAAATTGAAGTTGAACATTTTCAGCTTGTTGGAGGATATAAGTGGGTTCCATTTCATCATCAGCATTCGCCTCAAAACTGTTCCAGGAAAAGACACACACACAAAATGGGGACAGGAAAAAAAAAACATACCCTGTCATGTTTCTTGGCAGCGGTTGTCATCATGCTTCAGAGGCACCTGCTGTGGGAAAATGTGCCATATCCGCGATAAGACCAACAAAAGCCGCTCGTCAGCTGAATACATACTCAAGTGGAATCCGAAAAGAAAAGAAAAGATGGGAAGGACATTTTCGGATCCATCCCCAGTCTATATCGATAAGACAAAATGAAGCTTTCGGCGAAGAATTGTGTGCTGTTATTTTTCGCGATATTTGCCCCCATTTTGCACCTTTCTTCCGGCACCAAGATTAAGTGGAAGCAGATTCGAACCCAAGAGGTGAAGAAGAATGAGGCAGCCGGGATCATCAGGTTGCCCAGACACGTGATCCCCAGTCATTACGACCTGGTTGTGGTTCCTTGGCTGGATGACGATTCCTTCATGTTTTCCGGGGCTGTGGACATCACTTTGACGTGTGTGGACGTGGACTTGGTCGGAACGCCGTGTTCCAACATCACTGTGCACTCCAAGGTATGGATGGAAACATTTCTTTTTCGCAATAGTACCTTTTTTGATATATATAAGTATACAGTGGACCCCTGGTTGACAAATTTTAAGGTTAAAAGAGCTTTTGTCCATGAAGAAAAATCCATCAGTTTACAAGAAAAAAAATCTGGTCTACACAGTTAGATTCCCAGGAAGAAAATTTCAAATGTGGTCATCATGTAATCGCACTTTAAATGAACAAGTCAAGCTGGAAAAAAGTGATTAGGCAGACATGAGGCTTACTTAACATTTTTTGAACATTTTCAACACGAATAAGTAAGTATAAATAGTCAGTTTCTGTGGTTTGAGCAGACTCAATTTACCAAATGATATGTGTAAAAAGCTGTGAAAAAACACTTTCAAACTGGGTTTTCCCTTTTATTCCACAGTTCATTTGCTGAACTTTTTGTCAAGTTATAGAGCATTGTAGAATTGGAATTTTTTTTTTTAGTTATCCTGCTCATATGTGCAAAGCTTTTTGAGTGCTGTTTTCATGCATGTCTCATTCAACCCTACAAAACATTTTACAGTTCCAGACAATGTAAAAGTAGGAACTAATTCAGAGCAGATTGTATTTGGGGTGCCAGGAACATATTAATTGATTCTCCCTTGAATTCTATCAGAAAATCAAATTCAGTTAAGAAAGTGTTTGCTAATCGAGGGTCCAGCACAGTGGGCCCTCATTTAATAAAACTTGATTGGTTCCTGACAAAACTTTGTTAACCAAGAAGTCTTTTCTGAACTGAATTTGAGTTTCCAAGACTAGACTTCAATTGTGAAGAAGGTAATCCATTNCCCTGCCCCCATAAGACAATCAAATATTTAGTGTATAATAAAATAAAGAATTCATAACTATCAAATATAATCAGAATGAATGGTTGCTGCATATTTTACTGCCAATTACATTTGCATTTTTGGGCACTACTTTATGCATGCCTGTTACTTCAAACAAAAATAGCTAATGAGTCATTTAGTGAGAATGACCAGACATTAACTTTGAATTGCTGGTGTGAGAGGGTGACATGAAAAAAACCCATGATAAAATACAGTGGACCCTCAGTTGACAAACTGCTTGGTCAAGACACTTTTCGGTTACCCAAATTTTGGTTTTGAGAGAAAATCCCTCAGTTAACAAACCAAATTTGGTTAAGAAACTTTTTATTTGGGGGAATTTTCAAGGTTGAAAACTCATAATTTGATTTTAAGGCTGAAATTCATGGTACAATATAAACGCAAATATTAAAACCAATGCATTGACATGAAAATTCTTCCTTCCTGGAGCTCCAATATTTGTGATATTTGTTTCAGCTACATTTTTCATACATGCTTTTTAATCTTTGGCCAAATTATTGGCTTTCCTTTCCTTGGTTTTCCAATGGTTCAATTCTTGAAAATTCAATTTAATCTTAACATCCAGCATGTAACAAAAAAATTAATTTCTCCCCTCAAATGTGTGTGTTTCTCCAGATGAGAAGGTTTTAATTTTTTTGTTTCCGTCAGTAATAATTTTATTTGACATTTCATAAACATTTTGTGTACATATAAGATGCAGCAACAACTTATCCGGGTTATAGTTGATGGAGTTGAATGTTTAATACTGTATTCAATCTTCAAATTTCTTCTGGGTTCATGGAGTGCATTAAATTCTTTCCCATAAAAGTCCATTTGAAGATCCAATTTGGTTAACAAAAACTTTTATGTTGAAATACTTTTTTTCCCCGAGAGGAATGATTTCAATAACCATGGGTTCAATAACCAAAGCACCACATGAAAAAATGAACCCTTATAAATTTTGAGTTGACAAACCCTTTTTTATTTTTCCGTTTCGAGTTTGTCAATTCAAAATGGAAAGGGTTCATTTTATCTTCTTTTTTTCACCGTCTGTCACTGTTTTCACTGTCTGGAAAAAATGTTTCCTTCCATACTCAAAATGAAAAGGGTTTTTTTTTCTTTTTTTTCCTTTTTTGATGCGGTGCTGCATAAGAATATAGATATCCTGGACGTGTCCGTCAGGAGAGTGTCCGATGGCAGCGACATCCCCATTGAACCAAATGTGGACTATGACCCGTATGCTGAGTGGTCGACTGTGTTCCTCTCAAATCCTCTCATAGTTGGAGAAAGTGCCAATTTGGTCATCACATTCAGCGGAGTCATGTCCACTGAAATTGCGGGACTTTTCTACAGGAGCTACGACAGCGCTGGAACCAAAAAGTGAGGTTTTCTTCTGTGCATCTGGATACAGTATATGGAAGACAGGCAGTGATGGGACCCCGACTTGCGGACACTGCTTATTGAAACTGAAGAGAAAAATTGTCTGCCCTGCTGACGCATACCAAGAATTTATTGAGAAATGATGGACAAGTACTTGACCAATATTTCTAGAGAAATGGAAACTTATTTCAAAAAGTTTTTATATTATGGACAGGAATTGGCTATTATATT